TAGGTATTTGTCCCAAGAGTACATTTTCTTGATTACAAACAAGTGCCCGTTGGGACACTAAAATTTTTAAAGACACACTCTGTCTATGGGATATTTAACGTTGCCATGCGTTAATGCCTTAGCGTGTGCTTGCTTAACAGCAGTTACTTTCCCGTAATGTTCTGTTACTCTGGGGATCAGCTTGTATGCTGTCTTACCAGGAGTTTAATGGAGGGCTGATGACAGGTTTCATCTCTCAGTGTTCAATAGACAGACTGGTCCAGGACACATTAGCTTGGAGACAGCCAAAGTTGTCTTGTGTACGTGTGCCTTCTTGGCTAGCTAGATTACTACTGATAGGCCTACATTTACCAATCACTTGGTTTTGTTCAGGGTTGGAGGGTGTGTGAACCACATGGTTTCACTGTGAGAATAGGGTTGTGTGTGCTAATGGAGCTAAGATAGCTGTTGATGATCAGTAAAAACCTTCAGACCGTTGGATGGCTGCTTGTTAAACCATGCCTCCTTTGAATGCATTAATTGTTTTTTTGGCCACACAGCATTCATACATCATCACCTTATAAAGCTGATATGGCGTGTAGGCTAACAGTAGCCTGTTAACCCACCCAGGAGCACAAAACATTAGCACTGAGGTTGTGTTTCTAGCCACCTAGCAAATGTAAGCCCAACATTAACTCTCCTTTTTATTTCTGGTTTTGTCTCCACAAACTCCTGGAAGAAAGATCTGGCTTTTAAGTAGCTAAATACTCCAAGCCACCGGCGCTAACTTCTGCTTAAGAGTAAAGTTCAGGACATTAAAACCTCGGCAGTAAGCTGATAGCCGCTCCACAGATCTGAGAGGAACTGCATAGTCAGGAAAAGCATAATACAAATAAAGCTTAAAATACAAAAGATGAGACGTGTGGGTGTTGTGGGTTTGGAGTTGTTGGAGGAAACCTTTGACAAAGCTTGGCTGAGCAACAAAAGTAATGTAACTCATTTATTTTTAGTTAGTAATTAGTATTAGTAATTGATGTAACTGCTTTTTCAATAAGACAAATCACAAATTGTTTAGACATCATATGTAACCTGCCCAACATGGTACAATAAATCTGCGTTTGTAGCAAGTAGCAAAGAAACAACCAGACACGTAATGAAAATTGGAATCCTCCAGGAATTACTGCTTCTTTTATCTTAGTTGATACAAGCAACATGAACATTCCTGCAACACATCAAAGCTCCTTATTAACTGTGCATACTTCAACATACTTGCTACATAGGCTTCAGATGCACGAATGGGACAACTGGCAGTTACATGACGGACAAAAAGAAGGGTGAAAACTACCATGTTTTTGTTTATCCTCTTCCAAGGGTTTCACCGAGATATTGTTCAAATTTATAGGTGACCCAGGGGGTTGAACAACAAAAACAATGTGTGCAGCATTACCATACATAAAGGCAGTCCATCAGCACTTTCAAGTCAAAGCACTACGGTTTGAACTGTGATGAAAGGGCACTTTATAAAGACAGTCCCATATTAATGCATTTATCGGTTAACCTCAGAAACCGAGCTAGAAAAGTAACAGATGTTCCAAACGAACAGACTCTGTGATCTTCCTCCTTCTCTCGCGTCACTACTATGTGTCACTTTTGTGTTATTTGAGTGGCATATTTAATTTTTGAAACCCCTGTTTGGGATGAACATTTTCAAATTGAAAGGTGAGGATATTTTAAATAGAGAATGAAACTGAAATTATAAAGAGAGCGTGACAGACAGTGAAATCCAAACCAACTCTTCTTCCTCCTCCTCCTCCTCCTCCTCCTCACCCAGAGATTAAATTGTTTTGCTCTAAAACAAAGAGGGACGATGTATTCACTTCTATTCCCTGAGGGACCATAATGCATTTCTGAGATGCGCAGAGGGACTGTGATGTGATTAGGGTCACAGATGTTTTGGGATACACAACTTGGGATGCTGAAAGCTTCTTAGGATGCATTTCATTTCACCATGTCACCTCCTTTATCTCTTGTCCTTGCTTCACTCTTGACATCTACTGAATAATCCCCTAGTTTTCCTAGTAAAGACATCCATTACTGGGTCCATTTGTCAAAAGGTGTTTTTAAAAACAAATATCATTGAAATGTCAGCATCATGCGGAGCCTCCTTTGTTAACCTGTCAAAAGCCTTGATGACGGGTATTTAAAGGAGAGTTCAGAGGTAACGGTAAATATATTTTCCAATCTATGACCACAACTCTCAAGAAGTCCATCTAACAGCCTGTACAAATGTCAAAATATCAGCACTGTGAATAGCACGGAAATGTGTCCCCCCCTCGCCCCCCAACAAATCAAAAATGGCCTGGCTCAAGTCGTATCCCATCTCCTGTAAAACTTAAGTCATTTCACACGCAGAGGCTTTTCATTGGGCTTGCATTGGCCAAGACAGCGCTTGGCTGGGCCCTGAGCAGTGCCCAGGAAAAACACTTGACATGATTGAAAAAGCAGAGACCGGCCAGAACATCCCCACAAGTTGGCGTGCCTTGACATAGAATTATCTGACGCCGTCTCGTTTTCAATGTTAAGAACCGCATGTGACATGTCACAAGAGTTTGATGATAAAAGGTCAGATGATAAAAGGTCAATAGAAGGTCAAATAAGATGGTCTCAGCTAACAACAAGACAGCTTAAAAAGGTAACTGTAGAAAGACAAATTTGTCTACAACCAAGACAACTCCAGACCAGAATAATTAGTGCCACCATCCACCACTTCAATCCCTCTCTTGCCATAACCTTTTGCTCACAACTCTCTTCTAATCCCAGGGGGAAAAGACCGGGAGCACACGACTCTTGACCCCGACAGAGGACAGCGTTTGATGAACGACCAGGGAAGGTCAGACCTCTGATTGGTATTCAACCTCCTCCATCTGAGCACGCTGAACCAAACCTGCAGCGTGTGTCCCCCCCAGGAGTGCAAATTACAATGGTGACATTGATAGATACACAGCATCTTCGTACACGGAACTTTCACTGAGGGGACGGAGTGCGAGCGTAGGTTGAAGTGCGGCAGGGCAGGGCCCGCGGGTAATATGTTACCGAAGGGCTTTCTTTCAACAACCTCGCAGTGTCACAGTCACATGTACAGATGAGGCTGATGGATGAATAGCTACTGGGTGCTTTACAGGAATACTTGACTTGATGGAATGGAGCACACAGAGCTCATTTTTACCACCACTCTATGTTTCTCCACTACCTCCTCCATCTTCACACACACTTCGACTTGCTCATATATAACACACAAAGGGGTCACTGATGATGCTGAAAAGTAAAGTGGGGGGATCTTTGACCTTTAAAGGGTGTCTGGAGACGCATACCAGCCAGCAACAACTGACTGAGCTGTGAACGAATAAGGGAGGCGACCTGTTCACTGTCTTTTAATCCCCAGAGAAATCTACCACATACCTCGCATATCAGTACTTTTCACCCTGTGATTTAATGCTCGATAATGGACGTCTAATTAATATCAGTTTTGACAGAACATCTGCAGGAGCCAAAACCTCTTTTGAACATATACGGTTTTTTCAGAGTCAGTGAAGAACTATCTGCCCAGCTCTTCTTTTTAAAAGGGGACCAGCTGTGGTGCAACTGCAATCACAGGTTATGCCCTCCATGTGGACATAAATCACAAGCACTTCAACCAAACAGTGAGCCTTCCATCTGAGATTCCATCATTTGAGTGGTGTTCAGAGGCCCCCGAGAGCTAAAAGAATGGAATGTTTAACAAGAAAAGGGCCAAAAATTAGAGACAAACCAGAGAAGAAACATCATTTTGTGTAAGAAAATTATACACTATGTCTCAGGAGTTAAATAATTATGAGCAACTATGGTAATGATTAATCGTTTAAACCAAAAATATTCTCTCATTACAGTTTTTGCTGCTTTTCTGTTTTATACAACTGTAAGCTAAATGTCTGCTCGACATTTGAACACATCACCTTAGACAATTGGGAAGGCTTGTTTTGTCTTTTTTTTTTTTAACAGTTTTCTGACATTTTATAGATTAAATGAGTATTCAGTTAATGGATGAAATAATCAGCACATTAATGAATGTTAGTAGTAGGGTGTTTTTTCTCTGTTATCATCTGGCTACATCAGATTTTTCTTGTGCCTCCTTGGAGGGTCCTGAACCTCAGGCTTGGAACCACTGCTCTATTTGAATCTTACTATTAACAGTGGTAGATATTATGAACACATTTTTGGTAAGCCTAGTAAAAGTTTTAACTTTGAAGTCATGTTTTGTCCATCTTTTCTGTGCATCACTGTCAATCAATGTAGCGCAGGTTTTCCCAGAATGCCCCTCAACAGCATGACAGTGTTGCCTATATTTGTTCAGCTGTTTGCGAAATTAAACTCCCGGTTTAAATTAGCTTTAATCCCCCCGGGTGCAGGGCATTGTTATAACAGGCATGAGTGCTTCACCAGCACTGGGAGCATCTGAACCACTTAGTGTGAGCAGCAGGCGGTGGGACCGATCCAGGCTGCGCTCAGTTCACAACGTGTTGAACTTCACCTCTTGCGCTGTTAGTTACTGTGAACAAAAGAGTTGTTTGTCACCTTTTGCAAAATGTCAAGTCGCTGGTGGAACATTACACGCACAATTTGAGGTACACGGCATGGGCTACAGTTAATCAACAAAGCAGTATCTCAATGAGAATCAGTCCAAGTTAAATAAATGTGAATACACCACTGCAGGCTTATTTTGGTAATATTACTACAACTTCACTGTTCAGGTTTCAGTAGCCTACACCCCCTTCCTTCTCCATGTCTTTGTGCCTGTGACTACAGCCGGAAAATAAACGTGATCTATTACAGGCTACAACAGCACATGCAAACATGTAGGCAGGCGCAACGACCCGTCCCCCCTCCGCTTCGGTGCGGAGGTAACAAGAGCATATGACAAGTGGAGGACCGGATGGTGGATGTTGTTGGCAGCGGCGCTGCTGCGCTCCGTGGGCGAAACCTACCTGTCATCGTAGCAGAAATCTGCCTCCAGCGTGTTCAGATAGAGACCCACAGCCACGGCGGTGCACACCAGCTCAGTGATCATCTCTCAAAACCAAAGTGGGAGAGGAAGTGGGATAGAAATGACTGGAATCAGGTCCCGCTATGTCAGGTCTCTGTGTTATTGTGCTCTCAATTCAGCCGCTCGGCAGCGCAGATCTCCCGACAACGCAGGGCATTTCCCGTGACATGCAAAGTGTGTCAAAGTGTGCCATGTTCCCCTCTAACCCATTGCGTTGGGAGACGGGCCAGGAGTGTCGGGAGGTGAGGGTATCGCCGAGTCTGGCACGGAGCTGTGCGCATTTCTGTGCTGCGGTGTCCTCATCTCTCCGCCTTGGCACTGGAGAGAGCAGAGAGGGGAGACGCATGTGGTTTTCAGGGAGGCGGAGCATGCGCACTGGCCTCTGCACTGGAGAAAAAAGGTGGCGTGTTGGAAATGAGTAACTGTTATGCGTTACTGATGGACTACAATAAGAATCAATAGTGTACAGGATGTCAAGCATGAAAATGTATTAATATTTAAGAAAAAATAGTTAATGTTCCTTTGTGCTATTCTATTTTCTTAAGGTAGGCCATTTAACAAAATAGTTTAAATTAAAGAAATGACCATAACTACTAAAAAATCTGATTCATTACCTCAACCCGAAATAATCCAAAAATAGTATTCACAATGTCAGAAATGTATGTATAGATTATACAGTAAAAATGTATAAAACACCTATTATGCTTTTCCATATTTTATGACTTATCTACAATATTACAATGTCAGATTCATGTTAAACATGACCAAAGCTTCAAATAATGAGGTAAAAGTATTTAAAAGATATCCCTGTGAGCCAAAACCTCAGATATCCCCCTGTTCAGAATGCTCTGTTTTGAACAGCTTTTTCTACCACTGGCTGGTAAGATGCCATTCCGAGCCGGATTTGCTCCAGGCAGAGAATGCTGACCACGCCCACAAAGGAACATGCAGCCCCATCCCTGCAAAAGATTCAATTTTGACCAAATTAGAAAAAGAGTTTCATATAGGACCATATACGACCCCATCTTATACAGTACCTTAATGTGTATTTTACTGTAAAATCAAAGTTTAGTACAATAATTCTACAGCAACATACTGCTGAAGTTAAGGTATACAGCTGTCATTTTACTATTATTTAATGGTGAAAGTAATGCAACCAGTAATTTACTATAAACTTACAGTCAAATATTTTACAGTGCAAGTTTGATATTCATGCTGAGATGTCCTGCTATACAGATGAGCTGGAGCTGGTTGCTGTAGGTATCATATTATTCTAACAGTCTAACCTAAAAATGTTGATTAATTTACTATACCCCAACCCCTCTCCATCTCTATGGAGAGGCTAAACTGGGAGAGTCGGTGGGATTGATGAACTGGCGCACCTCACCCTATGGTGAGGATGCATATGGCTGTCAGTTTGGAAATGTGCAGCCTGGTCCCGCTGACTACCAGCTGGACCAACGCCTGTCCCTCAGTCGGGGCTCTGAGCAAAGAAATCTAGTGCAGAGCAGTGGAGAAGGAAAAACAGATGGTTGGATGAGGATGTATGAAGGTGTCGGCTGATGATGGGTGAGACAGTAACGGGGCATTATGGGCCGAGGATAAAGAGGCATTTGTAACAGTGCAGTGACCCTGATTTTGAACAAGACTTGACCTTGACCTCATGGAACATGCTGGACTATTTAGAAAAGCAGGCCGCAGTGTTTTTGTACCTGAGACTTATGTTGAAGCGCTTCCTCTTTTATAGCATTCATCAGAGTTGAGAGGTATAAATGAGAGTCTGTGTTTGGGTGGCGGGAGGGACACTCAGTCCTTTTGACACTTTATCTGTCAGACAACCTTAAAATATGACCTTCATGTTATTGGTTTTGTTAGATTAGAATTGTATACCCATATTACTACAACACACCCAAACAAATCCGTACTCACAAGCGAAAACAAAGACTTTAAAATCTACACTGTGCCCTCACTCTGCCTCATGGGGACAAGGGCTGCTCTGTCTTGCAGTCGTCACAAGTGATTAAGGGATTAGCTAAGGAAAAGAGGGGGGGATATTCCTGTAGGGAATATAAACAGGCCCAGGGCAAAACAAACACATTACGGGAGAAGAAGTGTTTACTCCCTCTGACTGATTACCTGCTATGTCTTCGCTGTGGCAGAGCCTAATGAATAATACTCCTTGCTCTTTTTGTGTAAAGTGGCAAAAGTCCTAAATAGAAAACATCCTTTTTTTGGTTTAAGATGCAAGACTAAAGGGGCAGTTGAGGGCTCTGGGAGATGGATGACGTGGAATCATTCGACATGAATGCAGTGTTTGAAGTTTTTATATCTACATTTCAGAAATAAAGTCTAAATATTTGCCAAATTTGATGAATGTATTTTTGTCTTTCATTTCCTATTTCTTCTGTTTGAGGAAGTGAATATCATTTATCGGGCTTATAATTTAAGCTCATGGGGTTTTCTCATTTAGACCACATTTTGTTTTGTTCATCAACAAAGCAAATGCACGCATATTTGACTTGACAAGTGTCCAAACGCTTTCTTTGTTGAGGCCTTCAGCATGGGCCTATGAGCTTTAAATGAGCATTTGCAGCCGGTTAGCTTAGCTCAGCACAAAGTTTGGAGGCAGGGGGAAACACCTAGCCTAGCTTTATCCAAATGCGCCTGCCAGCTCCTCTAAAGCTCAGAAATTCACACGTTACATCTTCTTTGTTTCATTTAATCCATACAAAAGCTTAAGAGTAAAACAGGACAGCAGGAATAAGTAACTTTTTGCAACAAGCTAACTGTTTCCATTTCATTTACATTTACTCATTTGGCATTTGGCTTATCCAAAGCGACTTACATTTGAGGAACAACATTCAAGCATCAACAGAGCATCAAATACAGCACGAGATCTATAACTGACAATACATACTAGTAAAAGCAGCAATAAATACTAGTAAGCGCTAATGGCACATATCACATCAATGGGGTAAATACCTAGGGAAAGAAGTAAGAGTTAACAAAAAGTGCAATCAATACAAGATAACTGTAAGGGGATAGAAGAAGAAGAGCACAGGAAGTGCATGTTAGAGATTAGGCGTTAGAGGTGTTATAAGAGGAAGTGTTCTCGGAAGAGATGAGTTTTCAAGAGCTTCTTGAAGTTAGAGAGGAACCCCACTGCTCTGATGGCGTATGGTAGCTCGTTCCACCATCGTGGTGTCACAGATGAGAACAGCAGGGACTGGGATTTCTTTGTTTGAAGTGATGGCAGATTTCTAAAGGCCCTGGACACATTTTCAATATCAATGTCTATTTGTATTTCCCAAAATGTTTAACTATTCCTTTTCATTCATTCGTGCATCATTGTGCATTGTGCACGGATTATGCAGTCTAAAGGCACAGTTTAATATTCCTCATGGTTTTCTTTTTTAAACAGAAGATAATGTTCCCATTACGTTCACATATCCAATTCATGAGACAAAAGACAAATCTGACCAACAGGAAAATCTTTTCCAACAAACTCTACTTCCATTGATGATGTTATTGAGAGATTTCCGCTCCCCTTTAAGTCATACAAAGTGAGTAATGGTAATTTCCCCCTGCTGTTTTCTCCGGAACCACTGCTTCTTCCCCCCCAGCAGATAAACATCACACAGGAAGCAGATAATCACAGCTGGAGGCACCGTGCCCGGGCCCTGCCCTCACAGGAATAGCATACTCGTGGTATTAATATCAACATTGAAGCCCAGCAACCTAAAATCAGGAGAGATCACAGACCAAATCAAATCCACCCTGGTTTGTGGAACATCCGCAAGGGTGTCACCTCCTCTTCTGCTCAGGGAGATCAGAAATATAACTGTTTGGGTAAAAAAAGGGGGGGGCTTGATGATTGTTTGGGTTTGGTGCTAAATTAAGATGGATCAGTTATAATGACTGTTTATTATTACAGTTACTGTTAAACCACACTAATGACGTGCTGTAAGATGGCTTGAATAGTGGTTAGAAGGATTCTGGATAGTATTGTTTCAGAATAGAAAAAAAACACAGATTGTCAAAATTAAATAAATCAAAAACAGATCAAATAAAACACCATATCATAATAATCCAAGCAGACGCTTGTGATGGATAGCCTATATACTGTATATGTATTTAAGTAATATACAAACAAAGCACTTGTAATCGTGTATATTATATTTAAACAGGGAGAAATAAAGCATTACATTTGTTTTGCAATGACATTAGAGTAGTGGTTCTCTCACGCCCCCCTTCAGAAGCTAAAAGAAGTTCATCATGTCAATCATTAACAACACAGGTGACTGAAATGATCTGAGTTTAGCAAAATAGCCTTGCTAGCATCAGAGCCTTTTTGTTTGTTTATGTCACCACATCAAGTGCCCCCCACCCCACTTTGAGAACGACGGCATTAGAGGTTGAAGCTTTAGAAATAGACTTTCTGCAAACCACACATACCAGTTTCTAGTTTTCTCTGTTTTGTATGACTTGGCAGATGTTTTAGATTGATCTAATTTGATATTAATCTGGATAACACGGCCAAACAATGGGCAAGATTAATGGAAAATATGAATCACAGGGACAAGTATTGTTACTGGAAGTATGTGTTGACTGTGTTTTACATTGAAAACAGCAGTTGTCCGTTCTCCATCAAATGTTTCTTGAGGGTGACATTGTTTGACACGCCGAGTCAAACATTTGCACGGCTTGACGTGCCTGTTTGCACATCCACAGATAAATCTCTTGACAGATGTGAAATGCATTTTTGTCCATGTGGCTCTTTAGAGGATAAATCTGCAGTGACATGAGGTGATAACAGTGATTTTAATCTAGAACAAGCAGTGTGTGCCCAGCTCAACGTCCAGCCAAATCCCCCTCTTTCTCACAAGCAGGTCATCTGGCAGAGAAATGTAGTCTGTTTGTCACTGGAGGGGCATGATGATGGCAGCCAGGGCCACTTCCTGGCACCCTTGTCTCTGATGGCTGTGCGCCCAGGACAAAAAATAAATAATAAAATCCCAGTTTGTGCTTGGGACAGTTAAAACTGGACAACATGATGATTATGCTGAGATGGAAAAAAATTAGGATTGTGTGTATGAGAGTGGATGCAGAAGTAAAAGTGGTTTAGTAGTGTGTGTGCATGAGACACGGTAACAGACCTTTAAATGGCTTATTCACCATCGCCATGCTTTCTGACATTTAAAGTGACCACTTCAGCTGGCCCATATCTTTCTCTCACTACTTTCCCTCTTTTCCAAGTTGTGTTGATGCTTGATAAAGGCTGCTACTTCCCTTCCAAATTGTACCCTTTCATACTCCAGGGTTCATTAATAAAGTCAGTTTCCCCATTCACAAGAAAAGTCCAAAACATTCACCAGCTGAGAACGGATTATACAGACATTATTGAATGCAGTCTACAAAACTGTTGGCCAAATGTTGGCCCCGTCCTGTTTATGAAGTTGGAGGAACCCTGAGATGATTTTTCAAATGAAGGAGGCGGGTAGCAGGAACTTGATTCATATCCAGCGTGAGAAACAGTGAGGGCCGAAGTGTTTGACGCGCTCCCCTCACTTCCCCACCACTTCCTCTCATTCCTACCTTGCAATAAGAAGTCATCTGAGGTGGTACTGCCTCAGATTATTCCCCTGTGCAGACTATTTCTGTCTTTCAGCCTTCATCACATCCTGTAATATTTCCCTTTTTTTGTGGCTGTTTGTGTGTCTTGCTGTCAATGTGGGCACATGAAAGAGACTGTTCCAGGGTGTGTTTATATAGATATACATGTGTGCAAACATGCGTGCAAGCATCAAGCACAGGACAGTTCTACGGGACGTGACTCACTCGGCCACAACAAAACCCGGTAACATTTATATCTCAAAACGAGCCTCTTTCACATCTTGAATTGCTTGCATTCGTGTCAGTCCGGTTTGGCCACTAGAGTAAGCTGTCAGTGCGAAACACGGAGCTGCATCCAAACACGGTCCAGACGCAGCAGAAAGCCTCACCATCTGTCTTTGCCAAGACAAAAATAAGGTTATGGGACACGGTTTGACCACTGTGATGTTGACAGACATATGGATGGCCTACAGATGTGCAGGCTGCTGAAACTACAGTGACAAATAATTGAAGCTATGGAAGATGTGATAGAAGGAAGAGCTTCGCACAGTGGAAAAGTGTTTCAAATTGCCTTTGATTCAGGCTAATTTTGTTCAAGATATTTTCCATGATTGTGTAAAATGGATGTTCTATACAGCTTTAATAAACACTGTCACATGCAGAGCTGCCATGACCATTACTGACTCAGTGGTGGGTAGTGTAAGACACAAGTCACTATTTGACATAATTAGTTTTCATTATGAAAGAGATAACCTAAGCTAGTGGTTCCAAAACATTTTTGTCAGCCATACAGCCAGATGACTCAGATGAACTCAATAACCCTCGTTTTTTTAATTGACTTTAAACTGGATGTTTATTTAAACTATATAAAGGTAGATAGTGTTACAATAAATTATTCATATTCAATTGAACTGTCAGTATTTTGGTTGGTTTGGTCAAGTTTGTATTCTGCTACAGTAGGCTACCTAGTAGTGACAGATGCTGAACATTTTGACCATTTATCAATTACTTAAAGCTAACTTTTTCAACCATACACCTATTAATTCAACCTAACAATTTTATTTAATCATTGCAGTTTAGCGTGTTTGCATTTTTACATTTGCTAATTAGCACAGATTAGAAGTACAGGACCCAAAAAACAGCTAACTAACCACGTTTCCATTGCTTTTAGCTAACTATTCCAACAGTTTATCCATTGGGTTCCTTCTAGCTAAATATTTTAAATATTTATCCATTACTTTTAGCTATTTCAACCATTTATTCATTACTTTCATCAATGTCTTTTTTACTTTAGCTTTAAGTATTTATCCATTTGTGTACTTCTAGTTAACTGTTACAACTTCTCTACTCACTAAAACATTTCATGTATTTTTACAGGTGGCATTCAAGTGTTATAGTGATCTCAATGTGTGGTAGCCTAATATTTACTTAATCAAATCACAATTTCTTTGGCAACCTGTCCAGGGTGTCCCCCGACTTTTGCCCGATATCAGCTGGGATTGGCTCCGGCCCCGGCGACCCTGTGAGCAGGATAAGCGGTTGACGATGGACGGATGGATGAAATCACAATTTCTGTTTTTTCAAATTAGTTGATCTTTCTACATTACCCTGGCAACTGCAGAAGTACCCCCTGGTTGGGAATAGCTGACCATCTTCTCTACAGAAGAGTAACCGAGTGAAAATCTCTCAAAATGTCAAACACAGAGGTGGACTATATCTCTATGTCAAAGTAAGAGAGTTCATTATAAGAAAATGTTAATTACTGTAGGATTTCTAATAGTATATTTTAATTTGTAAATGAAGTGAATACAGTCCCACTATAAATTTATTTGATGTTTTGGTCCCTTAAATGTTCCATTTCCCACCTTACCTTTTGTCTGGTTTAGTGTAAATCCCACTACCATAATTCATGTGTTCTCAAGGCTATAACATTTGTTATCAAACATGTAAGGAGAGCGTGATTTATTAAATGACCAAGACAGAGCAAAACAGAAGTAAAGGTTAAAACGGGGTCAAGGGTGCCTCTTGCCCTTTCTGTCTTTTCCCCTACCTCCACCTAGGAATGGGGTTTCCAGAGTTGTCAACAGAGGGGATCCAAGCCTCCGTAAATCCCACAATGCCCCTGGATCCCTGAACGGTCCTTAAAAGCAAGTGTTTTCTTAAGAGTCACCAAACATAAAGACAAAAGGCTGAGACGGATACAATTCAATCAAAACAGGCCTGACAGTTTTTCCAGGTGTTTTGAGCATGTGTTTTCACAAGGCAAACAAGGTCAAGGACTAAACGCTACAAAAATTAAAAAATTTATTAAGCATATAAAACAAAAGAAGATGGTACTGAAAGTAATCCAGAGACAGCATAAATAACTTATAAAATTTTGATTAAATCATACATATAATTAAAACAATCAGGAGAGAATACATACATAATACAATCACTTCTGAAGATTGCTGATATGATCATGTATAATTATGACCTGCGTATTATCATCATGCGCATATGTATAAGTTCATCAGCATTAAATTCTGACTTTGTAACTCTTCAGGCCAACAACAGCGTAACATCTTGGTGACAGTAGGGGATCAAAGAGTTGCACCAGTGCAGAGAATGATAAATCCACCTGGAGGATACAAAGACAAACACCCAAAAACAATAAGACACAATCAAACTGAATAAAAAAAAAAATATACATGGACATAAAAATCTTGATTCTGCTCCCAGTTTGTGACCCCTGGAATCCTCTGCTGTACGATGTTCTCACTATTAAAGCTTTCTCTATTGAATCTCCAGAGAAGAAACATCTGTACAAATATTGTGTCAAGTGGAGTAAAAAAAGTATGTCTTTCTTGATGGCTTACTGTTACGATATACTGTAGGTCATTTTCAGCCACACTTTATCAGACCGTACTTTTTCTGCATTCATACAACATTGTCAGAATGGAAAGATCGGGAAAACCTGTTTTTCTGACTTGGGAGGGTTCATTATTGCATGTCAGCCTTCTAGTCACACAATTTAAATTATACCCTATGAGCTACTTTTGCTGTGTTGCGTATTTGGAGGAGTTCCCTAACAAGTCAAATCAGATACAAACAGTGATGGTGTTAATATTGATCTGATATCTAAATTGATATTTTCATTTAGATCTAGCTGCCAGCAATGGAGGCTTTGCAACCATATTAGCACCAGTTTGTTGACACTTGTCTATTTTTTTAGTAGGTTGGAGATATTGTCACTGTCAAAAATTATATCTCTGGCTCAGAATTACAAGTCAAAGGCTGTTGTGAGCATTTTTTCCAATTCGTTTTCTCATAAATATTGTCTGAACGATATTACGTAAATGTGGGATTAATCCAATGTTAGCATTCTAACACAATGATGGTGCCAACATGCTGATGTCCAGCAGGTTTGTTTACAATGTTCACAAATTTTTATTTAACTACAACTATTTATCCAATACGTTTAGCTAACTATCTCAATTATTTACCCCAAACTTTTAGCTAACTATCTCAATTAATTATCCAATACTTTTAGCTAACTATTTCTACCATTTATCAAATACTTTTAGCTAACTATCTCAATTCTTTATCCAACACTTTTAGCTAACTATCTCAATTCTTTATCCAACATAATTCTTTATCCAACACTTTTAGCTAACTATCTCAATTCTTTATCCAACACTTTTAGCTAACTATCTCAATTCTTTATCCAACACTTTTAGCTAACTATCTCAATTCTTTATCCAACACTTTTAGCTAACTATCGCAACTATTTATCCAACACTTTTAGCTAACTATCGCAACTATTTATCCAACACTTTTAGCTAACTATCGCAACTATTTATCCAACACTTTTAGCTAACTATTGCAACTATTTATCCAACACTTTTAGCTAACTATTGCAACTATTTATCCAACACTTTTAGCTAACTATCTCAACCATTTATCCAACACTTTTAGCTAACTATCTCAACTATTTACCAATACTTTTAGCTAACTATTGCTACCAATTTATCTATTACTTATGTAATTTAATTATTTCTGATTAGCGGGTATTATTAGGGTGTGTCTGGTAACCATGAATGTCTCCAAAATTTCTTGCAGTCCAGCAAACAGTTTTTCCCAAGAGCTGTTGATATTGAATCTCGATCACCAAATCATGTTTCATCATACACATTTTGGTCCCTTGACCTGTCAGCAAAGGTCAATCAGAAAATGTATACATTGTATACACGTAGATCATAATTTGACTATTGGAAACATGGAAATCTAAAGTATGTTTTTGAATGATAATCACAGCTCCTGTTCAAAACTTAAACAACCTAATCTCTGTGTGTATATTCTTCTTTAAGTCTGAACATGCTTCAGCAAACTTATCATCATATGGATCACATTCACATGCATCCATCACTTCCTCTTTTTCCTCCTCTGCTACTCCTCGAGGGATATCTCTCGAAGCGGACCAGCGCTCTTGACGTTATATAGTTTGATTACACGAGCCTATTAAGGAAGTCCATCTGACACACAGCCACACATGTAACCACAACTTCAAAGCTTTCGGCTCGTACATATCTCATCACAATGACTCCAACCAAAGATCAGCATGTTGTGTTTGGCTGCAGAAGCACAAGACATTCAATTCCAAGTGGACTTAATTTAGCCAGCGCTTATATTATTGTCAGTGGTCTGAATCAAAAAAAGGTTTCCAGATTTCAGCTGAGATTTCTACGCTTTCATCATCTGGGAAGTACATTTCACATCTCAATCAACAAGCTGTACAAGCAAATTACAAAGATGAGTCCAGCTGAAAAAGGAGAATAAGTGAGCCCTATGTGTTACATGACTAATGTTTTAATGTTCAAGTTATGACTGCGCTGTTTTAATGTTAGTACAGTTTGCATGATTTTTATTTTCTAGTTTGTTAAATTTCAATTTGTTTTCAAAGTGTGTTTTGAGAGTTTTGTTAGAAAACATTTGATTTATTTCCACAAACTTATTTAAATTACTAAATTACAGAAAATAAACCAAATACAACTTTAATTTAATTCAAGTCATTAACTATTCGTAATTTTTAGGAATTATAGAAATGGGTTATGGTATTGGCTTCAACTTCTAAAATGTGAATCTTTTCTTGGGCTCCTGGGATAGATATATTTGAAGACATCACGATAAGGCAACTTAAAGGCAAGTTTAACCTACCAAGTCAGTTAGTATGTTTTTTTTATATTTTTTTTGCTTTTTTCTTGGTTTATAAAAATATTGTCTTGCTTTTTCAAAATGACCAGCTTCCAGTTTCTGTCCAGCGCACACTCACACAACACACACACACACACACACACACACACACACACAGGAACTGTGGAAAAAGTCAAATGTTTCAAACGCTTTCTAATATATACAATCATAGCCTAAGAACTAGGCGTTCCATATAAACAGATTTAGTCTGTGTTCTTTATTTCTACATACACCTTTGCTGCTACACCACTTTCTGCCTTCTCCAGTCTCTTTCTATACGTCTATTCAGTATGACGACTTCTTATCTGACTTTTTAAGAGTATTCTAGGTTCTGCCAAAGGGGGTCCATGAGCTCACTGACAAGTCTGTGTTAACCTAAGCAGATATGTTCATGGGAGCAGATCCACACATGCAACAAATTGATGATTGATGTGACCGAAATGATTTTACCTGTTCTTTCAGGTAGCAGAGGCGATCGAGGAGAATCAGACCTTCGATGCATGGGGCCAGCGCCACCTTCAACTACCCAAAGATGATGACATGAGAGGAAAGATATTCCTTTAAATATATGTGTTCATTTCGTATCAGTGTTTTCAACAGGGACCTCTCCATCTATCTGATACAAAATGGCACTTTTCTTGTAAGTTGTCTCTTTTAGGCTACTCCCAAAACAACATACTAAAACCCACCATGACTAGTGTCTTCCCAGTAGCTTGTGGGCAATCCCCAAAAACCATTTTACTGCTTTATGTCATGAAAGGAAATTGGTATGTTGGTTGACACCACAATTAGTGGCCTGGTTTTCTTCCCATTCTGTACAATGATTCCTGTTTTACGTCCCCACAGACTGCAATGATCTCACTTAATGGTCCGCAATTTATTGGCATTATACATCTCATTTTACATGAACAAAATTGTTTTACAAAGTAGAGTTTGAACAGGATGTTGTGGCTGTAAAGTGTAGGATAACAATTTAACACAAGGATGGCGTACAGGCAAGTGGGTGTGGGACTCACCATATTGAAGGCATGCATCTCGTCCATTCGCGGCCTGTATGTGTCGTGGTAACCCTGGATGTCACTGTCCAAAAGCTGAGGAGAAAAAGAGTACGGTGTCATGCACTTGAGTCAGAATATGGCGGCTTTGAATGTGAATTCAGGGGACTAAAAGTGAGAGATTGAAGGAGGATGTCGAAAGAAAGTCTTTTGAAGTTGTGAAGGACATAACACAGACAGAAACACGTCATCCGTATTCCCATGGATACGCAGGGCAACCAGATGACAAACTCCTCAACATCCTGGGGCCTGGCAACATCCTAAACCAAGACAGCAAGTATCTTAAGCATCTGTGTAGTTTACTAACCTGACGTGAGTTGGAATATTTTCTAATAAACACCAACGAGGAAACATTTTCCCTCTAATCGTGCTAAAAATCACAGGTATTTTCCTACAGTGCTGTGTTTGTCAGTGAACTTTCCAGTTTGCTTGTGGAAGATGTTGTAAGATGACTGTAATAATATTCTGGTCCCGACCTGTGATTCATCCAGTTCCAGTCGGCGTAGAGCTCGACGAACGTAGTCCACAAACGATTTGGCCTTGGAATAGACATTCCAACTCGCTTTTCACTGCGAAGCAAAAAGACACACATAATTTTCTCAGTCCCTGAACATCTCATTTCTGCCCGATGAAATAAACAACATTCACTCTTTAATTAGTCTCATGTTGTGTCTCCTGTTCTGCATTTATCACACCTTAGCAACCAGAACCAGACTGTTAAACGCTTCTAAAAAGGACTAAATAGTGATGAATAGGTGCTGCTTAGAGAAAAGTAATGGATATTCGATCCTGACCTTATGTTAGCCATTAAACTGAAGGTCACAGAGCAGTGGGGACCAGGCAATGCTCAGTGTCTTTCAGGAAGCTTTGAGCACATTTCATAAGGGCTCACTGAAATCTGCAGTATTTACATCAAGAATTTAGTTTGTTTAGGTAGAGGAGAGCAACGACCATCATCCGCCAAAGCTCATTCATTAGGAATGCAAAATAACAACAACTTAAGATTTTATGGGTGTAAACCAGCAGGTTTTGACTCTTAAGAGCCAGCAGTTACTCATGTTTGGAGAGCAAAGCATAACAAACTGAAGCAAGGCCAAACTGCTTTCTACTCTGCATGATCTTCACAGACCTCTATGAGCAGAAAAGTTCATTTCTATGAATGAAAAACTGTTAAGGGTGCAACTAATTAATTTCTCATTATCTTAGAATGTGTTTTTATTTTAGTGTGTTGTTTGCTCTACAAATGATTAACAATCCGTGAAAAACAGCGGGAAACGGCGGGGGAAAAAAAAGAAGCGGAGATGCTGAACGCAGAAAAGTGAGAAAATGTAACATCCGAAATCTGTGCACAAACACAGGCCTCAAGGAAGCGCCAAACCTGAAACATGTTGCAATCCAGAGTAGCTGCCACTCCATGTTTTACTGTGTCCTGTATGTAATTAAGTGCGTGTATTTGTGCACATGTTTAGAATAATACATCTTCCACTGAATTGCATATAACAGCTCCTGTCCTTTTTGCATTTATAAAAATGAAAAATGCACCAGGATATTTGAGAGCCCAAGATGATTTCTACAAAATACATTGGAATCACCTAAACACATTTGACAACCTGGAACTCTACAAATAGTTTGTCATTTTTGCTTAGAATGACTTAATCAAGTGATTATCAAATTGTTCCAAAATTTCTGTGGATCCACTAATCCTTTCTTGGTTCATTCATAACCAAAAAACCTGAAACAAAAACATTTTCTGGTTCAGAGAAAGAAATTGCAGTGAGCGAGTTTTAATCCTTGTACAGCACATGTGTGGAAGCTGTGAAATAATACACTATGATAGAAAAAAAAAGTCGAGAAAATATTTAAGGTGCTAGACACTTGCTGTAATTTTCTAATTAAAGTAATGCCAGATGTAAACTGCCGTGTGTTACCTTTTAAAGGAGCTGTAGTGATCCCTCAGAATAACGTGAAGAACTGCCCGGTAAAACAGAGACTCCATCTGAATCTGCAGAAACCGTCAACTTCATTCAACATAATGCAGTTTACTATATTTTTCACGTTAAAAGTTTGTATTCCCTTCTGATTCGTCCAGCCTGGTGCGAAAGATGATGAATATTTCTGACACTTTCAAAGCCTGATGCAAGACTCGCAAGCAATCAGGCCAGCCCCAGTTCCAACGAGAATCAATCTTATCCTGATTGCATTAATATTTATAAACATTCCATATTAATGGCTGGCGGTATCGTGTATCAACTTTGGCAGAAAGCCGCGGGCTCTACATTTCAAATAATACACTGTAGTCAATCACAGACTTAAAACATAGAATTGTTAGCTGATTGTTTGAATGCGTGTAGGAGATCTACGCTGAAGATAATACAGACTTCAGTGATTGTGTACACACATATTTCTGGTTTGATAATCATTTGATATATTTTTGTTTTGATTGATGTGACGTAATGAGTTTAGTGAAAGGCATTTAACTCTCATTCTTGTGTGACGATGATATTGATTACAATTAGTACGCGTGGATTACTTACCCCTTGGCCGAGCGAAACTCTCTCAAGAGCTGTTTTTTTTTTTTGACAAACGGTAAAGGGTTAAGAAAAGTATTTCTTGGACAAAAACTCCACATGGCCTCCTTATAAACGGTTAACTGCCACTCATTATATATGCTTTTGCAATACCTATTACAGTCTGAGGA